CACCCACCACCACCACACCCACCACACCCACCACCACCACACCCACCACCATCACCACCACCATCACTATCACCATCATTATAGAATTTTAAAAACAGAATGAAGACTGACCTTATCGATACCTTTCCTATGTCCCCACTCCCATCCCCAAACAAGCCTACAGGAATAAACATCTGTAGCTGAGGTCTCTCAAGTAATTTCCACCCTCAGACCCATGGACCCCAACTTAGATGCTGGCTTCTTTGCCCAAGCAGAAATCATCACCAACCCAGACCTGGGAACCTCTGCCATATGTAGTTCCAGCGGAGGGGCCCGGTCCAGCTTCCTCCTTGGTCCTGCTTGTGTCCAGCCCCCAGGCAGCTAAGACCAGAGGCCTGTCCAGCCAGGCAGCAAGGAGGACCTGCTCCCAGAAGTGGTGTGCTCCAGGTGAGGGATGGTAAACTGGGTGGGAGGAGGGGCTGTTCTCTGCAGGGTGTGACTAGGGGGAAATACCTCTCCTTTCTCCTGTCTCCTCTGCCATCCCCCTCTGAAGGTACCTTTGTCTTGCTTCTCTGGCCCTTTAGTCTCCCCACTCCCCTCCACTACCTCTGCTCAGGGGCATAGGAAGCGGGGTCCTAGGACCAGGCTGCTGGGGCCAGACGTCCTTGGTTTATTCATGCTGCTGAAACTCTCCAAGACACGTCTTGATTGCCCAGCCCCTGTGAGGGCTGAGTGGGAAGTCCAGCCTGCGAGCTGTCCATGCTGAGGGAGGGCAGAGGCCAGGGGAGGGAGGTGCTGAGAGCCTTGGCTGCCGTGGTGCCTGACCTGACTGACAGAGGGCCCCCCCCAGCAGAGAGCAGCCCTCTCTACTCGTCTGATGGGACATGCTCCAGAAAGGTGCAGAAGTGCCCAGGGAAAATGGGGAGGTGGTCAGTGAAGGGGGGCAGGTCTTCAGAGGGTCCCCAGGGGTCCCCTAGTGGCTGGTGGTCTTGGTTGGGGCCTTTCCTCAGGATCTTCCAGAGCTGCCTTCCCCAGGGGAGCCACTGTGGGAGAAGGGAGGAGTCACGCGTGGTCCTTGGAGGGTTTGGACAGGCCTGCCTCTCTGGTGGTGTATACCCCAGGCCTCTACACCAAGTAGTGACCCTTCCCCAGATTAGAGACACCATCTAGACCCACCGTGTGACCTCCACAAACCCTGCTAGACACACGGTCAGCTGGTTAGCAGGACGAGACCTGGGTCCCTCGGTTGGCATCCTCTTTCCTTGAGCCCTAGTTTCTCATTTTAGAAGCAAATCCTAATCTCTCTGTGGACTCCCATCACTTGAGTCACACATTTCCACATACATTCTGAATTAATAACTTCTCGAATGAATGGGGTCCTGCCTCATAGGCATTAAGGGGTTTGTTCGGGAGGCTTCATTCATAAGAGGAAGCAGCTCTGAGAAATGAGGAACCCACCCTATCATTGGGGTTCCCCACAGACAGCGCATGCCTAAAGGGGAGCTTGAGGTGCCATGCCATCTACAGCAGGGGAGCCCCGTCCCCACGGCCTTTATCACCGCTCAAGCCCCCCTGACCTTCCCCCTGTCCAGGGAGACATACCCACCTTTTCCTTGACCGTCTCCGGCACGTCCTTCGCTTCCTGAGGGAAGGGGGCCTCCCCTGTGGAGCTCTCCGAGGACTTGGACCAGGACTCGCTGATGTTACCCAGATTCTCATCCAGAATTTGGGGATCCAGGATAGGCAGGACCTTGCTGTTGTTTGGTGTCAGGAACTTTTCTGGCTTCTGGGAAGAGAAGGTGACGAGAACATTCCCATAGCCCCCTTCTCTGCTTGACCACTCTATCATTGGTGCATCCTGTACACCCCAACCCTCTCCTCCCCACGGCTCAGGGGGGCCCTGCCCACCTTCTACCTCCCACCCTCATGCTCACAGCACCAAGCACCCTGCCCTCCCCTTGCTGCCCCTCCAACGATCCAAGCTCTCTCCTGACTCAGAGCCTTTGCACTGGCTGTGGGACCGGAGAGCTCCTTGGAACCTCTCTCGTCCTGTTTCAGCTCAGCTGTGAACTTCTCAGAGACTGAGGCCACCCTGGCCCAAAGTAATCACGTCTCTGCATGACTCTGGTTGGCGTCATTCCATTTCACTGTCCGTGTGGTTCAATGTGAGAATTGTGAGAAGGAGCATTACTGGTTGCCTATCTACCTCCTTACTCCAAGGCCCACATTAGAATGTAGGTTCCCTCTATGCACAGACCCTGTTGGTCTCTAGCACTTGGATCATTGTAGGTCAACATATGCTTTTCTGAAACGATGATCCTCTGTGATCTCCACACATGGTGCAGTCACAGCTTCTGAAGCCCCACACCCTTGGCTGGGTGCACTTCCCAGTGCATCTCTTTGTCCTCCAGTCTTTTCAAACACTAAGCAAGTCTCTGTTCTCCACGCTTGATGGGCTTCTTCCTCTTTCCATGCCATTTTGCCTACTGTGGCAGTTACACCATCTCCTGTCAACTCGTGAAGGGGTGGAGTCTAGCTTGTTAATCAGGTCGCAGCTTGATGACCTCATTTGGAGGCACAACAAATATAAATAGCTCACTGGAGGCCAGACACACACTCTCTGCTTCATATTCCTGATGACAAGACACATGGAGCTACGCTAGAGCCCTGGAGCTGGAGGAGCCACGTGGAGACCCTGCCAGCACTGAGATGCTTCCACCACCA